GTTTTATTTTTTATTTTTTAAAAATTGTATTTATTTATTTGTGTGTGTGTGTGTGTGTGTGTGTGTGTGTGTGGCCAGCTCAGCCCACCAGGGGGCATGCTGGCTGGCATGCGGTGCTGGGGGATTGAACCGTGGTCCCTGTGCTTTGCTAAGCTTGTTCTAAGTAGGTGCTTTAGACCACTGAGCCATCTCACCAGCCCCTGTGTGTTTTATTAAGATAAGATAAACCTCTTAGTTAGACTGTGTTCTTCTTGTCTCTGAGCCTGTCTCATTGTTTCCATTTTTGCTATATTTTCAGATTTCCTATAGCTGTCTTGTAATTTAAAATTTCTATTAAATGCATTTTGGAATTTTTTTTTTCTTTGTAAAGACCTGAAAGATATAATTTCATGGTTTTCTGTTTAAAACAGCTATCTTGTCTGTTGCTCTTTTGGAGATAACCTACTCCCTCGTTTCGAGCTGTTTTTAAGATTTTCTCTTTAGTTCTCAGTAATTTAGCTATGTGGGCCTACTGTCATGTGGGGTTCTTTTTGCTATTTCCATGCTTGGCATTTATAGAACTTCTTGAATTTGATGAGTTTTGGAAATTGCTGAGATTATATCTTCCAGGTTTTGTCTGTCCTGAGTTTTGTCTCTGTTCTTTCTGAGACGCCAGTACTCTGGGAATTAAAAACTTTTCACTGTGTTTCATGTCTCCTTTTTCTTTTGTGTCTCCTGGTGATTTTCCATTATTCTTTAGTCTAGACATTTTCTGTTGATCTTTCTTATACTGTTCGATCTTCTGCTAAAGTTATTATTCATTTATTAATTTTAGTTTTCAAATCTCATTCTGGCAAGTGGGCCAGGGGGAGGGTGTGGCTCAGGGCTACAGCATATGAAAGTTTTTTAAAAAAATATATATTTAAAAATATTTTATTTATTTATTTGGTACTGGGTCTCCCTATACAGCTTGGATGTAGTGATCCCCCATCTCAGCCTCCCCAGAGCTGGGATCCTAGGTGTGCGCCCCCACATCTGGTGTTGGTGACTGGCCTGGTGTACCTGGGGTTCTGGGGCAGCACGGCATTGGGTGCCAGGGATGGAACCTGGGTCCTTGTGCTTGCCCGGCAGGTGCTTAGACTGCTGAGCTATCTCCCCGGCCCTGAAGCAGTTTTTAACATCCAGCTGAAATGACATGAGTTTATCCAGGTATGTAGATGGAGTGCTATGTGGTAAACACTCACTAAATATTAGCTGCTGTCATTATTAACAGTATGAAGAGGGAGTACTCCAAGGATAGAATTGGGAAATATATATGGCTTAGGGCGCAGATGTCCCCCACAAATTTTATGTATTCAGAGGTGGGGCTCTTGCAGGTAGTTGGATGCAGGGAAACCGTCCTCTCTGTGCCTTGGACCTCTGTGGAGTTTCTGGCAGATTTGCTGTTTGGGAGTTGGGCCTGACGGGAAGAGGCGGGTCACGGGGTGCCGACTGCAGGGGTGAACTGTCCCTGGCTCCTGTCTGTGCCTCCTGGCGGCCTTCTGCTGCCGCACCGTTCTGCCGTGCCATTCCTGGCTTGGAGCCAGCCAGCCAAAGACTAAACTCGCTGGAAATCATGACCTAAACACTCTCCTCCTTTCAGTTGTGTTAGATATTGTGTCTCATTAACGAGAAAGTGACAAGAAGATTAAAGATCAGATATTTTCTACATTTATGCAACAATGATGGGTAGAGTAATAGTGGAAGGATAGGTGTGTGCCAGTTATATTTATTGTTTAATCTTCATTTCACTAACCACATTGAGCGTGAGCAGCAGATTTTATAAAGGTAAATC